CGCATTCCTGAATGTAATGAAGAAATTCTTTTATATTTCTCCTTTGTGGAAATTAGTTATCAGAAAGTGCTGGAGAAAGCAGGGACAGGGCTCTTTAAACCCACCCAAACAAGACTTTACTGGCTCTTCGAGGATTGTTCTCCACTAAGACACTAAAGACGACACCTGATTGAAATGAATGATGGCCTTTGTCTGTTGCAAAGGATTTTTGATGTCATTCAGTAATTCACTATTACAATACAAAATCTATATAGGCCTTAAACAGGCTGTCTGTGAACCCAGGGGATCAGATCACCATTGCTGCCTCCTTTAACTGCTGCCCAAGCCACAATGGCACATCTACAGGCGGTGGACCCACTTGTTTGGGCTGCGTCCAGCCGAGCTCCATGGATAAAGGTCTGACTACCCTTTGGGATCCCGGTATCTACAAAGTAAGGTTTTTCAGGCATTTCTAAATGGGAGAAGACCCAAGACATGCTTGAGAAATTCTGCCTCTTAGTATCGTTGGAAGGGCTGCAGCAGGAGCCTGAGGTCAGCTCAGGATAAAATAATCTGTGGAGGAAGTATGGAAGGTCGGTTCTGTTGTTATTTTATTATTTTAATCTGCTTGTCACTAACCTTTTCTCCATGTTACCTTATTTATGTTGAAAGGTCTTCATATGTTGGAAAACTGCGCTAAACTTCCTTATGTGTCTTCACTGTTCGTGGCTGTCCCTCTGTCATCGTCTTCCACTGTTTCTGGCCCAGCTAGCTGGTCTGCTCTGTCTCATTACCTTGCCAATCTTGCCTCGAGGCTGGTGTGAGGATTTGTTTTCCTGCGTATATGCGGTGAGGTGTTTTCTTTTCTCTCTTGCAATGTAACATTCGTAACCGGATGCGGGAACAGTGAGGTGCAATCAGAGGCTGTGCAGACTCACAACAGCAAACAGGTCGCTCGGGGTATTTAGGTCTCGTTTGTTCTTCTTCCGTCAACATTTCATGTGTCTTGTGACAATTCAAACTCTGGTCACAGTTCTTGGCTGCATGGTACTGCTGCCTGTTCTTCTCTAAAGTGTGATGAAAGGCAGTATACTGATTGAGCGTGCTCCACTTGTATTCCTCTGTGTGCGTCTGAGCAAAGTGAACAAACAAGAACACTGTCTCACA